AGTGGTGGGTTTTTAAAAATACAATGTGTGGATCGCATAATATTTCGAAAATTTTAACTTTTGGGTGATCCGCACAAAAATATCCGCAGCATCATGAGAATATCCAATTTTATTGGTGTGGGTGCGTGTTATCCTTATTTAGAAATCGATTTGGCGATTGCGGATATTTTTTGTGGATAACTACATGATAATGTACCAACCAATCTTCACTTGAGATTATTATCGTTATTTTTGTTTATAAAAAAAATGATGATTTATAAATTAACAAAATATCTAAAGAACAATTTACACGGATTAAAATTTATAAATTATAATAACAAAAGTCCTCAACCAGGCGATAAAGGTAATTAATTGACCATAAAAATCATAAGTATAAATTTTTAATTAATATATCATTTATGGTAGTTATAGTAGCAATGTCAGGAGGTGTTGATTCAAGTGTATCTGCTTATTTATTAAAAAGGCAGGTAAATTTTTTGCAATAATTTTCTCATTGGAAAAAAAATTTTTTGATAGCCAACTTTAACTAATCATCGGTAATTGTTATGATTACTATTGATCTTTTAGGGTTATTTGGTAGAAGGCATTTATATGCGTAATTGGGATTTGGTGGATGATATAGGTGCATGTACAAGCGATAGAGATTGGTCAGATGTACAAAAAGTATGTGAACAATTAGAAATACCTTGCAATCAGGTAATGAATAAGATCTTTTTTTAATCTAATTAATTTATTAAATCTACACACATACATGTAATTGAAATGTATATGTGTGTGTGTGTATGTATGTATGTATGTTCCTTAATTTCTAAATCTCTTTAATAAAGATTAATCTTACTAAAGAATATTGGTTAAATGTGTTTATTAAAATGATTCATGATTATGAAAATGGTATAACGCCTAATCCTGATATTATATGCAATCGTGAAATTAAATTTGGAGTGTTCTTGGATAAATGTTTGAATTCTTCTACATCAATCAGTCAAAATGAAAATAGTACAACTTGGATTGCAACAGGTAAAATTAATAATATATTTATATTTATACTTGTATTTACATTTATATATTTATTTTATTTTTTGGCTCAATAGGACATTATGCTAGACTTGAATATAACAATTTAGGAAGAATAAAGTTATTAAGAGGTAATCTGATAATAATAATGATGATGATGATGATGATGATAGGATAAAGTCACTTATTAATGAATATATATATAGGCGTTGATACTCTTAAAGATCAAAGTTATTTTTTGTCAACAGTTTCAGAAGGAAAATTAAAAAAAGTAATTAATTAAATATAATTAATTATTATAATTAAATGTTATAATTTAATTATATGGATTTCTATTTATATTTTGCCAGGTAATATTTCCAATTGGAAATTTATATAAAACAAATGTTAAATCAATAGCAAAAGAATTGAATCTGATCACAGCAAGTAAACCCGAAAGTATGGGTGTTTGTTTCATTGGTGAAAAAAAGAAATTTTCAGATTTCTTGGAACAATTCATTCACAGAAAAAATGGTAAAATCTTGACAATTGATGGAAAAGTAATTGGTAAAAAATCATACAATAATAATATTATTATTAATAATAATATTTTGAGTTTATATGGTAAAATGTTATTGTTATTGTTATTAATATTGACAGGTGAACATAAAGGATTATTTGCATATACAATTGGGCAATGTGTAAAAATCAATTATTTACAAGAAAGGTAATAAATAATAATTTATGTCTGATAATAATAAATACATTTTAACATTAATTATTTATTGTTTAGATGGTTTGTATTAAAAATAAATGTTGAAGATAATACTTTAATTGTGGTACCTGGATCGTAAGTAATCACAATAATATTATTGGCAAGTGGTATTCATATTATCAATTATATATCAATAATGGTAATTTTGTAGAACAAATTCATTATTATATTCCAAAAAACTTGTTGCAAAAGATTGGATCTGGATTTGGAATGACTTACCAAAAGAAATTTTGCAAAGTAATTAAATTACTATTATTATTCCATATTTGTTATTATTTTACTAATTATAATTAATTAGGTGATGATTTACATGCACAAATTAGATATAGACAAACACCAGGTTTGCATAGATAGAAACTTCATTTTTATGTCAAAACAGATCATATTAATTATTTTATCTATTTTATAGTAAAATGTAAAATTATTGAATTTGATCATAATAACAACAAACATATTATTGAATTCAAAGAATCAGTAAGAGCAATTGCTCCTGGTCAAGTAAGTAACCTTCTATAATAATTAACTTATTGTAATTTATTTACATAATTAAATTATTATTATTATTGTCATTATTACTGAAATCTAGAATGTTGTTATTTGGTATAATAATTATTGGTGCCTTGGTAGTGGTGTAATTGAAAAATCTTTGATTTAATTATCTATGATGGAAAAATAAAAAATCCTTGCCATCAATCAAAAATCAAGGATTAAATTTTTGCATTTGTTTATTAATATTATCATAAGAATCTAATTTAATGATGTTGAGTTGTTGATAGACTAGATGGTTATTTATCCACTATTCAATCAGCATCTTTACTATTGGTAGTTGAATCATTATTAATGTTGATTCATTCTTATTGTACATTCATTTTAATATTGACTTTGAAATTCCTATCCTGCCTGATTCCTTATTATTAAGTGATTATACTACACATAATTTATTTATTAATAATATGATATGTTAGATTTGTTGAACTTTATCCATTTATCAGACATTTCCACTATTTGATTTTTCAGACATGCAATACTGCTGTGTTGTTTCAATGTAAAAGAAGGAATTAAAAATAACAAATTCAGTTGGTCAAATAAAAATTAAAGAAACAGAATGTTTGGGAAAATGATTAATTTATGTATAACATACCAAACAAAATCTGAACCATTTTATTTTACAGCCTTCCTTCTAACATCAAAGCCCAAATGCAATTTCAGGGTTACCAAACCCACTCTGAATTGCAAATTTCCTCCCTGTGCTTGGAACAATTTGCAGATTCTTGTTGCATTGATGTATCTGGATGTTTACATGGCACTACAATTCATCAACAGAGTTGTGACAGCCTGGTCACAGAGCCAGCCTAGAGGTAGGATCATTGCAGGAGACTTGTTACCTAACATGTCAGCAACCTTCTCTGGTCTGGGTGCTGTGAGGAAAGATTATCAGAAGTGTCCTTGACAATGATGCAGTTTGATAAACTCCAGAGCCTTGCACCCCCCCCCCCCTTGGAATTTAATTGCATCATCATATCATCAAGTGTAGCAGGTCAGATTAGCCTTGTGCACATGAGAAACATGTGAGAATGACTGTAAAGTGCTCAAGGTAGCATGCGTGTTTCAACACTTGCTAATTTCTGATAATCAAACATTGCATATTTGAATTGTTTCTTTTTCAACAATGTGCTGCCTTGACATCTTGTAGTTATTTATAATAATAATAATATGATATTGATTACGAAAAGCAAAATACCAATTGTTTACCATCTGATAAGAATCTAATAATTACCCAGCAAGATTTGCACAGCATAGTGGAAGTTTGTTGTTACACGAATTGTTATACAGAACTCATTACTCCTGAAACACAGTTGTTTCCTCTCTAAATTGGAGATCAAGTTCAGATCCAATTCAAATCCAGTTTATCACTTACTTTTTTATTGCCAGAATATTTGCCGTGTATTGTAAAGCTACGTTGCACAATATAAAAATTAGTGTAACATTTCAAATTTCCACTATGCTCCAACAAGCTGAATCATTATTAAACCTTTTATCGACTGAAATTCAAAATAACATTAAGAATCTTTTTTATTTTTTTTAATTAAAAGTTTATAAACGTTTTTAACTTTTTTTTATCTTGGAAAAAAAAAAGACTTACATACGAACAAATCCTATTCTCAGAATTACAAGGGTAATGATTCTTCAGGTAGACAAGAATCTAAATAAGAAAAATAATTTGTAAAAGAAAGTTACACACCAACTTTTCATAATGTATTTAATTTAATAAATAGATATTTGATGAAAAAATAACATATAAATTGAAAAAAAAGCTATCTTCCATTAGTGGAAAATCACCTTATTCCAACTTCAAAACATTTGTTGTTAATTAATAAACAATGAACCATTGCTTTGTTGCTTCTTATTGGAAACCTTGTTCAATTCATATATCTTTAAAGCTAATACATCATATATACACATTTTATTTGCATGCTTAATCGATTTGACTATTTATGGTGATCAGTTTTCTTTTTTAAAAAAACATTCATGGTACATGGTTACATATAGTTGCATTATATTATTATAATAATATTTATGCTGTTAGCATCATTTATTAGCAATATATTCATTACTATCTATGGCAAACACAAATTTTTACAATTGCTAGTTATATTAGTTATATCAAAAGCTAACTTCAATATATACATGAAAAATATATAAACAAATAATAAACAACTATATTAAATAATAAATGATTTATTAAATAATTAATTATAATTATTCACTATATTGCTTTTGATTATTAAAATTATTTTGTAATCAGTTATGTAACTCCTTATACCTTTTAACTCACTACCTGGACAAAGTATGGGGACACCTGCAGATCATCACAAATAATTGAATAAAGTGACATGACAAAAACTAAAAATTTTACTATCCCAATCACA